TAGTGTGGCAGAAGCGGGTGAGGAGTAGCGGGCCACTACAGCTGTGTAGAGGTCCTTAGCAGTCTTGCACTGGCCAAAGTGCTCGCGCTCATCTAGCGGCAGGGAGTTGCGAATAGCAAAGCGAGCGTGCGCGTCACGGGTCTGCCACTGTGAGCGCTCAGCTGGGGGGGCAGTAGCGAGTGGGGCGGTCGCATGGCCGAGAGCGTGGTCGTACAGTGTAATATCTTCCTTGGCAGTGAGCTGTAGGAAAAGGTGCAGGTCATCTAGCCAGGTTTCGAATTTGACCGGACGGCCCTCGGCGTCGAAAGCTAGAACAGGAGGACTAGCCATAGCGACAGCGGCAGTAGTAGAAGCAGTAAAGTCACTGAAAAGGCGTGCGCAGGGTCAGCAGGGCCGGTGGGGCCTACGGACTGTAGTGGCGCACAAGCAGCAGTAGCAGGAAGTGTAGTAGTAGGATCTGCAGTGGTGCACAGGCGCAGCAGGCGGCAGCGAGAGCCGGCGCAGCAGGGGCGGGCTCAGCAGCGGTGATACGCGGGCGGCAGCGGGCGCAGCAGCGGCGGTGCGCGGGCGGCGGCGAGCTCAGCAGCGGCGGTGCGCGGGCGGCGGCGGGCTCAGCAGCGGCGGTGCGCGGGCGGCTGCGGGCTCAGCAGCGGCGGGCCGGGAGCAGTGCGGGCAGCGTGCGGGCCGGCGGCGGTCAGCGCACGAGCCGCGCAGGCTCAGCGCGGGCTGTGCGGGCTGCTCGCGGGCTGCGTAAGCGGGTCGCGGGCGGCTCGCGGGGGTTCGCGCGGGCCGCTCGCGGGGTTCGCGGGCAGGTCGCGGGCTGCTCGCGGGCAGTTCGCGGGCTGTGCGCGGGCTGCGCGGGCTGGTCGCGGGCTGTGCGCGGGCGGTTCGCGGGCTGTGAGCGCGGCGCGCTGTGCGGTTCGCGGGCGGCGTGACGGGGCCGATCGGGGCGCTAAGGGGCGACGCGACGGGGGCCGTGAGAGGCCGCTAGAAAAAAAAAAATTTCGACGGGGCCGCAGGGCCGCTAGATCGTGCTAGATCGACGGGGCCAGCGGGGCCGGAAACAAGCGAAGGTAAGCAGGTAGGTAAGTCGGTGGGCCCTAAGAACAGTCCTAGCGAAGGACCTGCTCTGATACCATGTCAGAAATAACTGAGCAGGAATGAATGAACTAGAACAGAGTTTGGTACAAGTAGGAAACCCTAACTTTGTGTACCCCCTAAGGTGTAACCCACTACAGCCTAGACAATATAAACATGCAATGTTTGACAGGCGGGGTGATGGAAAGCGGGAGAATGGGGCGGGGTGATGGAAAGCGGGAGAATGGGGCGGGGTGATGGAAAGCGGGAGAATGGGGCGGGGTGATGGAAAGCGGGAGAATGGGGCGGGGTGATGGAAAGCGGGAGAATGGGGCGGGGTGATGGAAAGCGGGAGAATGGGGCGGGGTGATGGAAAGCGGGAGAATGGGGCGGGGTGATGGAAAGAGGGAGAATGGGGCGGGGTGATGGAAAGCGGGAGAATTGGGCGGGGTGATGGAAAGCGGGAGAATGGGGCGGGGTGATGGAAAGCGGGAGAATGGGGCGGGGTGATGGAAAGCGGGAAAATGGGGCGGGGTGATGGAAAGAGGGAGAATGGGGCGGGGTGATGGAAAGCGGGAGAATGGGGCGGGGTGATGGAAAGCGGGAGAATGGGGCGGGGTGATGGAAAGCGGGAGAATGGGGCGGGGTGATGGAAAGCGGGAGAATGGGGCGGGGTGATGGAAAGCGGGAGAATGGGGCGGGGTGATGGAAAGCGTGTTGGATGCACGTCATTCTGAGTGCATGTCATCCTAACGTCCTGCCGAGTGCTCGTGCTATTTGTGCTTGCATGATTTGCATGAGCATATGTCATTGTGCATGGCTGTTGGATATTATCATCTCTGTGTTTTCTCCAAGTCTAAATGCTTGATCATGCAGGAGAAATCCAGAGCTTTCCAACGATACCAAGATCGCCTTATTCCGACCAAGATCGCCCAAGTTACAAGATTTCCAAGACTTGGATTTCTTATTACCTCTTTGGGGTTATATCTAATTTGGGTGATTATTGGGACATGACTATAAAGGGATCTTTGGTTGGGTGGTTAGGAAGGCAACTTTGACTTTTGGATTGGGGTGGCTAGAAGTTTCTAGCATGGGTTGCAAATGTTGCAACACCTAGGCAAAATCCAACTAGATTGGATTTTGCATGTGACACCTCAAGGACCTCATGATGAGGGTTGCATCCTTGCTGCTAGGAAGGTTCCTACCATCCTTCCCTAGCTCTTGGAGAACCCCTTCCCTCTCATGGTTCTCTTGGAGGTCCCCAACTCCAACTTTCTATGCTTCATGCTTGTACTTCCTCTATCATTCTAGTCATGCAACAGCTGGACGTTTTCACATGGTTCTCACTCTCTAGACCATCTTTCTAAGTGATTCAAATTGGAGATGGTAGCTAAGCCTAAGGCGCAACATCCTACCGAGCGGATTTGCGTTTAGTTGAGTAATGAGTTCGTCGTAGCTTCTCGAAGTGACGGATCCTGTACAACAAAGCGGGAGAACGGGGCGGGGTGATGGAAAGCGGGAGAACGGGCGGGGTGATGGAAAGCGGGAGAACGGGGCGGGGTGATGGAAAGCGGGAGAACGGGGCGGGGTGATGGAAAGCGGGAGAACGGGGCGGGGTGATGGAAAGCGGGAGAACGGGCCGGGGTGATGGAAAGCGGGAGAATGGGACGGGGTGATGGAAAGCGGGAGAACGGGGCGGGGTGATGGAAAGCGGGAGAACGGGGCGGGGTGATGGAAAGCGGGAGAACGGGGCGGGGTGATGGAAAGCGGGAGAACGGGGCGGGGTGATGGAAAGCGGGAGAACGGGGCGGGGTGATGGAAAGCGGGAGAATGGGGCGGGGTGATGGAAAGCGGGAGAACGGGGCGGGGTGATGGAAAGCGGGAGAATGGGGCGGGGTGATGGAAAGCGAGAGAATGGGGCGGGGTGATGGAAAGCGGGAGAATGGGGCTGGGTGATGGAAAGCGGGAGAATGGGGCGGGGTGATGGAAAGCGGGAGAATGGGGCGGGGTGATGGAAAGCGGGAGAATGGGGCGGGGTGATGGAAGGCGGGAGAATGGGGCGGGGTGATGGAAAGCGGGAGAATGGGGCGGGGTGATGGAAAGCGGGAGAATGGGGCGGGGTGATGGAAAGCGGGAGAATGGGCCGGGGTGATGGAAAGCGGGAGTATGGGGCGGGGTGATGGAAAGCGGGAGAATGGGGCGGGGTGATGGAAAGTGGGAGAATGGGGCGGGGTGATGGAAAGCGGGAGAATGGGGCGGGGTGATGGAAAGCGGGAGAATGGGGCGGGGTGATGGAAAGCGGGAGAATGGGGTGGGGTGATGGAAAGCGGGAGGATGGGGCGGGGTGATGGAAAGCGGGAGAATGGGGCGGGGTGATGGAAAGCGGGAGGATGGGGCGGGGTGATGGAAAGAGGGAGAATGGGGAGGGGTGATGGAAAGCGGGAGAATGGGGCGGGGTGATGGAAAGCGGGAGAATCGGGCGGGGTGATGGAAAGCGGGAGAATGGGGCGGGGTGATGGAAAGCGGGAGAATGGGGCGGGGTGATGGAAAGCGGGAGAATGGGGCGGGGTGATGGAAAGCGGGAGAATTGGGCGGGGTGATGGAAAGCGGGAGAATGGGGCGGGGTGATAGAAAGGGGCGGGGTGATGGAAAGCGGGAGAATGGGGCGGGGTGATGGAAAGCGGGAGAATGGGGCGGGGTGATGGAAAGCGGGAGAATGGGGCGGGGTGATGGAAAGCGGGAGAATGGGGCGGGGTGATGGAAAGCGGGAGAATGGGGCGGGGTGATGGAAAGCGGGAGAATGGGGCGGGGTGATGGAAAGCGGGAGAATGGGGCGGGGTGATGGAAAGCGGGAGAATGGGGCGGGTGTTGGTGCAACCCTACGGTTTGCACTCGGCTTGTTGTCCGTGTGCGTGTGCGTGCATGCGTGTGTGCATGGAGTGGTATGAGTGCATGAAATAAATATATATTTCATGCTTATAATGGTGTGTGAATGATGGGTCATGATGTCAAGTATGTGTGTCGAGTCAATAGCGAGTTATCGCTAGTCGCGTGTAACGCGGTCATTTTGTGTGTCCCGCGCGGTTTCTATTTTGTCGTGCGCGGTTTCTATTTTGTCACTTGTCGAACGTTCGGCGTGTCGCAGGTGTGTGCAGAAGACCCATCAAGAACTCAAGGATGAGTTTTGTGATGAAGAACCCGAGCCTTGGTTCAAGCTTCAAGTGTTTTCGAAGCTCGCCAAAAGGCTACACCTCAAGATATTGAAGATTGTTACATTACAAAGTGTAGTGTAACATTTCAGTTGGTGTAGGCCCTTGTGAAGGGTAGTTTCGAGACCCTTCTTGGTTGGGGACAGTGTGGCACTGTTCCCCATCACTGTACCTCGGCTCTTGGGGTTTGTAGGAGCTGGGAGTCATTCCCAACTCGTAACTCTTCCTAGTTGTTCGTAATTGTGTTTCAAAGACTATGTTGCTGCCATAGTGCCGTTCGTTCAAACCGACGCTGTGTCGTCAATTCTTGATAAAATCGTGCGATCTAAATTGCCTAGTGTAGGCGACGTTAAGGCGCTCCAGATCCTAGTTGAATGAGGTCGATTGGAGTTGTGACCAGATCGCTATGAACGTTTAAAGCCGCTGTGCAGAAATCTGACTGCGCACTCTATCTTTGGCTCTAGGCACATTGAAGCCTATTGAAGCCTATTGTGACTATAACAAGTGGTATCAGAGCGCCTTGGAGCAGCTAAAACGTTGGCTGGACCTGAAGAGAGGGGTGGCAGAGGTGCTGGAGGCAATGGAGAAGCCCAAGCACAAGGCCAAGCCCGTGATTCAGCCGTGCAACCTACTCTTGGGCCTTCAAGGGATGAGCCAAGAGTGTTCGGGCTTGACAAGTTCAACGGCGACAACTTTGCTGAGTGGTCCTTCAGAATGGAGAACGTGTTTGATCACTATGATCTGCTGGAGGTGATGGAAGGAACGGAGAAGCGTCCCGAGAACGACCCGGAGAAGAGCCCGTGGGTGCGGAAGAGCGCACAAGGCTACCTCCTACTTGGGCAAGCGTTGGGGAGCAACCAGATCCGTCACATCAAGCCTTTCCAGCGTGATCCAGAGAAGGGACCAAAGGCATGGGCTGCTCTCAAGGGTGTACACGCTCCTGCAACAGCGGCGGTAGCTGTGGTGTTGGAACGGCAAATGGCGACGTTACGAATTGAAAAAGATGAACCTGTGGAAGACGGGGTGCAGAAATTCTTCGACTTGTTGACGCGGCTTGAGGGAGCTGATTTGAACTACAGTGAGCTCCAGAAGAAGACCAAGTTGCTGGCCTTACTCCCCGAGTCGTGGTCCTCCCTCATCATCAACTTGAACCGCGATCCGCCGCCGTGAGTTGGCGAGTGCGGATGGCGCTGGGGCAGCAAGCGTCGGCCGTGGATATGGCCGTGGAAGAGGCAGAGGACGAAGAGGAGGAAGATTTGGTGGCAGCAACTTTGGCGGAGGCCGCGGGAGTGGCGGTTACGGCGGCGACGACAAGAGCTACGGGCGCGGTCGCGGCCGATTCGATGGCGAGTGTCACTATTGCGGCAAGAGCGGACATATGTGGCGCGATTGCTTCAAACTCCCTGAAGGATGGACCCCTGCTCAAGGCCAAGAGGGTGGAGGAGCAGGAGGAGGGAGAGGCAGAGGCCGTGGAGGCCGTGGCGGTCGCGGAGGTGGAGCCGCGAACATGAAGAACGAAGATAACGACAAGGACCCGAGCGGCGATCGGTACCCGGGTCTATTCTACTTCGTGTCGACGCAAGTACCGGCTGGTCCAGAGAAGGATGAAGACCTTGAGGAGCCAGCAGCTGTGGGGAAGGTGACCCTACACCCCCTGGACTTTTGGGTGATCGATAGCGGCGCTACCTACAGCATGACACCTCGCCCCGACTTGCTCACCGAACTCGAGCCGTCACCGGTGAAGCATGTCACATCGGCTTTGGGGCAGCGAGCAGAGGTGAAGGGCATGGGCAAGGCCATGTTCAAGGGTGCTGATGGGAAGATGGTGGGCCTCAAGAACGTGCTTTGGGTGCCCAGCCTTGCTGCGAATCTGATTTCCGTGCGGCGGTTGGCAAAGGCCGGCATGGACACGAACTCGAAGGGAGCCAAGACCTACACCGCAAGGATTGGCGACCGGATTCTATGGGACCTTCACGAGGATAGGGACGTCTACAACGAGATGTGGCAGATCCCTGTGGTCCCCATGCCTAAGGAGAGGCAAGTGGCAGCAAGCATCAGCACCAAGGGTGACGCGGTTGGTAGCGGCGATGGCGCGAACGGCCGCGCTAAGGAGAACGAGCTCAAGAAGAGCAAACCTGGAGTGGCCAGCAAGCTGTGTGACCATAAGGAGAGTGGTGCAGCAGCCAAGGAGCAGCACAAGGGTGAGGAGAACCCCGAGGCAGCAGCGAAGGAGGAGTACGGAGAGAGTATGTGGGGCGCTATTGCGAGCGCGGCATTCTCCAATCCAACTTCGGCTACGGGGGAGTGTGATTGGCTCACCTTACATCGGCGAATGGGGCATGTGGCCCTGCCTATTTTGCAGCAGCTAGTGAAGAATGAGATGGTTGCTGGCATACGTGTGAAGGGGGAGCCCGATGAGGTGCTTGGCTGCCCGACGTGCTTGCAGGCCAAGTTCACGCGGTTTCCGTTCTCGAGCTCGGAGACGACGGCAAAGGCACCGCTTGATGAAGTGGTGATGGACGTGGTGGGCCCCCTGAAGCTTGGAGCTGCTGGAGCAGAGTATTTCCTCACCATAGTGGATGTCTACACCCGCATGACTTGGGTGTACGTGCTGGCCAAGAAGAGTGACGTGGCTGAAACGTTGAAGACCGACTTTCTCCCGATGGTGGAGCGGCAACAAGACCGACTTGTGAAGTCGATCCGCACCGATTGAGGAGGAGAGTTCCTGGGCAAGGAGTTTGGGTTGTGGCTGAAGAAGAACGGCATTCGGCACTCCCTCACCATGCCATACTCCCCTGCAATGAACGGCATCGCCGAGCGTGCGAACCGGACGATCACGGAGGCGGCACGCGGGTTGCTCATTGAAGCCGGGCTACCCGACTATTTCTGGCCTGATGCGGTGCGGAGCGCGTGTGTGGCCAAGAACAGAGTCTTGACTCATGTGGGAGCAGACAAATGGGTGCCCTATGTGGAGTGGCTTGGCAGGAAGCCAAAGGTGGATATGCTTCGGGTTTTCGGGTGCATGTGTATGGCGCTCGTACCTAAGCATCTTCGGCACAACAAGCTTGGTGCCAAGGCGGTGTGGGCCGTGCACTTGGGCATGGCTCAAAACAGCAAGGGGTGGCTTCTTTGGGACCCATTCACCAAGAAGTTCATGGTGAGCAGGGACTGCAAGTTCATGGAGAACTTCATGTACAAGGATTGGAAGGCGGAGAATGAGGCGAAAATAGGCGTGCGGTTTGGAGAGGTGAAGAGTTCCGGGTTGGAGCACGTGGAGCTGCCTTTGGAGCTGAGCAGCGGCAGCACCACCACGAGGCAATCTTCCCTTGTGAATGGGGGAGAGGAGGCCAATGATGCAGAGGAAGAGGAGGAGGAGGAGGTGCAGCAAGTGAGCGAACGTGCACCGACGCTCCCTTCCCGCACTACGAGCGCTCCACGGAACCGCACCACACCGCAACAACGCCAAGGCCTTCAAGTCCCTGCAGCTGAGGAGGAAGGAAGGGGCAAGAGGAGAGTCCAAGCCCCTAATAGGCTGACCTATGGTGCGCCGGGAAGCAGGGCAAGACGGCCCTAGCTGGAGCGGCAATGATGGTCGGAGACGACGAGGAGAGTGATTACGAGGAGTGTGCCTTCGCATTCTTCTCTCCGGTGGAGATGCCGGGAGAACCAGCAACTCTCAAGGAAGCCTTGGAGAGTAGTGATGCTGAGGAGTGGAAGAAGGCAATGGAGAGTGAGCTGAAGAGCATTGAGGAGAACGACACGTACGAGTTGGTGGAGCTACCGGAGGGGCGTACGGCGATTACGTCCAAGTGGCTCTTCAAGATCAAGTCCGACGCCGACGGCAAGATCGAGCGTTACAAGTCTCGGCTGGTGGCCAAGGGGTACCAGCAGAAGGAGAATGTGGACTACAAGGAGCTGTTTGCTCCTATGGTGAAGCCGACAACGCTGCGAACCCTACTCGCGGGAGCCGCGATCAAAGGATGGGTGGTGAAGCAGCTAGACATCGTCACGGCGTTTCTCAACGGAATCCTCGAGGAGGAGATTTTTATGGCGCAGCCAGAGGGGTTTGACGATGGCAGCGGCAGAGTGTGGAAGCTGAAGAAGGCCCTCTATGGGCTGAAGCAGGCCCCTAGGCAGTGGTACCTGAAGCTGCGCGAAGTGTTGGAGGAGATCGGCTTCACTCCCTCAACGGCCGATCACTCCTTGTTCATGCTTGGCGAGGGGGAGCAGAGGAGCTTCATGGTCGTGTACGTGGACGACATCCTCATCTTCTCACCCTCCTCTGACCTTGTGAAGGAGGTGATGCTGAAGCTGCAAGACAAGTTCAAGTGCAAGTCCCTTGGGGACGTGAACTTCTACCTCGGGCTCCACATCGAACGAGACGTGGAGAAGCGGTGCATGCGGGTGCACCAACGCAAGTACCTGGAGGCATTGGCTGCCAAGTTTGGGCAGAATGAAGGCCATGTGGCTACACCCTTTCCCTCTGGGTTCAAGTGTGTGAAGGGACCAGAGGAGGAGAGCGTGGGTGAAGAGGAGAGGCGCCGTTTTCACTCGTTGGTGGGCAGCCTCATGTACGCGGCAGTCAACACACGACCGGATGTCGCGTTTGCTACCGGGCAGCTGGCTAGGGTGGTGCAATGCCCTAATGAGGAGCAGGTAGCAGCTGGAATGAGGGTGGCCAAGTATCTTGGCCAAACACCGACCGTTGGGCTGCAATATTCGGCAGCGGCACAAAGGCGCCAAAAGGGCGCGGATGGTGTGGAACCCGGGCGTTTGTTCCTCACCGCATTCTCGGATGCCTCCTATGCTTCTGAACCAGAGGACATGACAAGTGTTGGAGGGTTCATTTGCTGTGTTGGTGGAGGCCCAACTGCTTGGGAGAGCAAGAAGCAGGTGGACCAAGCATTGAGCTCGGTGGAGTCCGAGTACATGGCACTCTTCCGTGCCGTACGGGAGATTGTGTGGCAGCGGCGTTTGTTGGCTGAATTGGGGGAGGAGCAGCAAGGACCTACCCCACTCTATTGTGACAGCCAGGGAGCCATTGCTCTAGCCAAGAACCCTGTGCTACACGGCCTGACGAAGCACATGAGGGGAAAGTGGCACTGGACAAGGAGCATGGTGGCCGCGGGTGAAGTTGAGCTGCGCTACGTGAAGACGACGGGGCAGCCGGCAGACATGATGACTAAGAGGCTGGTGGAGCAGCAGCATTGGAAGTGTTGCAAGCTGGCCGGGATGGCTCTGAACTGAGAGAAGCAGATTCTATGGCCAACAACCCGAGGGGGAGTTTGTTGGTGCAACCCTACGGTTTGCACTCGGCTTGTTGTCCGTGTGCGTGTGCGTGCATGCGTGTGTGCATGGAGTGGTATGAGTGCATGAAATAAATATATATTTCATGCTTATAATGGTGTGTGAATGATGGGTCATGATGTCAAGTGTGTGTGTCGAGTCAATAGCGAGTTATCGCTAGTCGCGTGTAACGCGGTCATTTTGTGTGTCCCGCGCGGTTTCTATTTTGTCGTGCGCGGTTTCTATTTTGTCACTTGTCGAACGTTCGGCGTGTCGCAGGTGTGTGCAGAAGACCCATCAAGAACTCAAGGATGAGTTTTGTGATGAAGAACCCGAGCCTTGGTTCAAGCTTCAAGTGTTTTCGAAGCTCGCCAAAAGGCTACACCTCAAGATATTGAAGATTGTTACATTACAAAGTGTAGTGTAACATTTCAGTTGGTGTAGGCCCTTGTGAAGGGTAGTTTCGAGACCCTTCTTGGTTGGGGACAGTGTGGCACTGTTCCCCATCACTGTACCTCGGCTCTTGGGGTTTGTAGGAGCTGGGAGTCATTCCCAACTCGTAACTCTTCCTAGTTGTTCGTAATTGTGTTTCAAAGACTATGTTGCTGCCATAGTGCCGTTCGTTCAAACCGACGTTGTGTCGTCAATTCTTTATGAAATCGTGCGATCTAAATTGCCTAGTGTAGGCGACGTTAAGGCGCTCCAGATCCAAGTTGAATGAGGTCGATTGGAGTTGTGACCAGATCGCTATGAACGTTTAAAGCCGCTGTGCAGAAATCTGACTGCGCACTCTATCTTTGGCTCTAGGCACTAAAGCCTATTGAAGCCTATTGTGACTATAAAGCGGGGTGATGGAAAGCGGGAGAATGGGGCGGGGTGATGGAAAGCGGGAGAATGGGGCGGGGTGATGGAAAGCGGAGAATGGGGCGGGGTGATGGAAAGCGGGAGAATGGGGCGGGGTGATGGAAAGCGGGAGAATGGGGCGGGGTGATGGAAAGCGGGAGAATGGGGCGGGGTGATGGAAAGCGGGAGAATGGGGCGGGGTGATGGAAAGCGGGAGAATGGGGCGGGGTGATGGAAAGCGGGAGAATGGGGCGGGGTGATGGAAAGCGGGAGAATGGGGCGGGGTGATGGAAAGCGGGAGAATGGGGCGGGGTGATGGAAAGCGGGAGAATGGGGCGGGGTGATGGAAAGCGGGAGAATGGGGCGGGGTGATGGAAAGCGGGAGAATGGGGCGGGGTGATGGAAAGCGGGAGAATGGGGCGGGGTGATGGAAAGCGGGAGAATGGGGCGGGGTGATGGAAAGCGGGAGAATGGGGCGGGGTGATGGAAAGCGGGAGAATGGGGCGGGGTGATGGAAAGCGGGAGAATGGGGCGGGTGATGGAAAGCGGGAGAATGGGGCGGGGTGATGGAAAGCGGGAGAATGGGGCGGGGTGATGGAAAGCGGGAGAATGGGGCGGGGTGATGGAAAGAGGGAGAATGGGGCGGGGTGATGGAAAGCGGGAGAATGGGGCGGGGTGATGGAAAGCGGGAGAATGGGGCGGGGTGATGGAAAGCGGGAGAATGGGGCGGGGTGATGGAAAGCGGGAGAATGGGGCGGGGTGATGGAAAGCGGGAGAATGGGGCGGGGTGATGGAAAGCGGGAGAATGGGGCGGGGTGATGGAAAGCGGGAGAATGGGGCGGGGTGATGGAAAGCGGGAGAATGGGGCGGGGTGATGGAAAGCGGGAGAATGGGGCGGGGTGATGGAAAGCGGGAGAATGGGGCGGGGTGATGGAAAGCGGGAGAATGGGGCGGGGTGATGGAAAGCGGGAGAATGGGGCGGGGTGATGGAAAGCGGGAGAATGGGGCGGGGTGATGGAAAGCGGGAGAATGGGGCGGGGTGATGGAAAGCGGGAGAATGGGGCGGGGTGATGGAAAGCGGGAGAATGGGGCGGGGTGATGGAAAGCGGGAGAATGGGGCGGGGTGATGGAAAGCGGGAGAATGGGGCGGGGTGATGGAAAGCGGGAGAATGGGGCGGGGTGATGGAAAGCGGGAGAATGGGGCGGGGTGATGGAAAGCGGGAGAATGGGGCGGGGTGATGGAAAGCGGGAGAATGGGGCGGGGTGATGGAAAGCGGGAGAATGGGGCGGGGTGATGGAAAGCGGGAGAATGGGGCGGGGTGATGGAAAGCGGGAGAATGGGGCGGGGTGATGGAAAGCGGGAGAATGGGGCGGGTGATGGAAAGCGGGAGAATGGGGCGGGGTGATGGAAAGCGGGAGAATGGGGCGGGGTGATGGAAAGCGGGAGAATGGGGCGGGGTGATGGAAAGCGGGAGAATGGGGCGGGGTGATGGAAAGCGGGAGAATGGGGCGGGGTGATGGAAAGCGGGAGAATGGGGCGGGGTGATGGAAAGCGGGAGAATGGGGCGGGGTGATGGAAAGCGGGAGAATGGGGCGGGGTGATGGAAAGAGGGAGAATGGGGCGGGGTGATGGAAAGCGGGAGAATGGGGCGGGGTGATGGAAAGCGGGAGAATGGGGCGGGGTGATGGAAAGCGGGAGAATTGGGCGGGGTGATGGAAAGCGGGAGAATGGGGCGGGGTGATGGAAAGCGGGAGAATGGGGCGGGGTGATGGAAAGCGGGAGAATGGGGCGGGGTGATGGAAAGCGGGAGAATGGGGCGGGGTGATGGAAAGCGGGAGAATGGGGCGGGGTGATGGAAAGCGGGAGAATGGGGCGGGGTGATGGAAAGCGGTGGGGCGGGGTGATGGAAAGCGGGAGAATGGGGCGGGGTGATGGAAAGCGGGAGAATGGGGCGGGGTGATGGAAAGCGGGAGAATGGGGTGGGGTGATGGAAAGCGGGAGAATGGGGCGGGGTGATGGAAAGCGGGAGAATGGGGCGGGGTGATGGAAAGCGGGAGAATGGGGCGGGGTGATGGAAAGCGGGAGAATGGGGCGGGGTGATGGAAAGCGGGAGAATGGGGCGGGGTGATGGAAAGCGGGAGAATGGGGCGGGGTGATGGAAAGCGGGAGAATGGGGCGGGGTGATGGAAAGCGGGAGAATGGGGCGGGGTGATGGAAAGCGGGAGAATGGGGCGGGGTGATGGAAAGCGGGAGAATGGGGCGGGGTGATGGAAAGCGGGAGAATGGGGCGGGGTGATAGAAAGCGGGAGAATGGGGCGGGGTGATGGAAAGCGGGAGAATGGGGCGGGTGATGGAAAGCGGGAGAATGGGGCGGGGTGATGGAAAGCGGGAGAATGGGGCGGGGTGATGGAAAGCGGGAGAATGGGGCGGGGTGATGGAAAGCGAGAGAATGGGGCGGGTGATGGAAAGCGGGAGAATGGGGCGGGGTGATGGAAAGCGGGAGAATGGGGCGGGGTGATGGAAAGAGGGAGAATGGGGCGGGGTGATGGAAAGCGGGAGAATGGGGCGGGGTGATGGAAAGCGGGAGAATGGGGCGGGGTGATGGAAAGCGGGAGAATGGGGCGGGGTGATGGAAAGCGGGAGAATGGGGCGGGGTGATGGAAAGCGGGAGAATGGGGCGGGGTGACGGGAAAATGGGGCGGGGTGATGGAAAGCGGGAGAATGGGGCGGGGTGATGGAAAGCGGGAGAATGGGGCGGGGTGATGGAAAGCGGGAGAATGGGGCGGGGTGATGGAAAGCGGGAGAATGGGGTGGGGTGATGGAAAGCGGGAGAATGGGGCGGGTGATGGAAAGCGGGAGAATGGGGCGGGGTGATGGAAAGCGGGAGAATGGGGCGGGGTGATGGAAAGCGGGAGAATGGGGCGGGGTGATGGAAAGCGGGAGAATGGGGCGGGGTGATGGAAAGCGGGAGAATGGGCCGGGGTGATGGAAAGCGGGAGAATGGGGCGGGTGATGGAAAGCGGGAGAATGGGGCGGGGTGATGGAAAGCGGGAGAATTGGGCGGGGTGATGGAAAGCGGGAGAATGGGGCGGGGTGATGGAAAGCGGGAGAATGGGGCGGGGTGATGGAAAGCGGGAGAATGGGGCGGGTGATGGAAAGCGGGAGAATGGGGCGGGTGATGGAAAGCGGGAGAATGGGGCGGGGTGATGGAAAGCGGGAGAATGGGGCGGGGTGATGGAAAGCGGGAGAATGGGGCGGGGTGATGGAAAGCGGGAGAATGGGGCGGGGTGATGGAAAGCGGGAGAATGGGGCGGGGTGATGGAAAGCGGGAGAATGGGGCGGGGTGGTGGAAAGGGAGAATGGGGCGGGGTGATGGAAAGCGGGAGAATGGGGCGGGGTGATGGAAAGCGGGAGAATGGGGCGGGGTGATGGAAAGCGGGAGAATGGGGCGGGGTGATGGAAAGCGGGAGAATGGGGCGGGGTGATGGAAAGCGGGAGAATGGGGCGGGGTGATGGAAAGCGGGAGAATGGGGCGGGTGATGGAAAGCGGGAGAATGGGGCGGGGTGATGGAAAGCGGGAGAATGGGGCGGGGTGATGGAAAGCGGGAGAATTGGGCGGGGTGATGGAAAGCGGGAGAATGGGGCGGGTGATGGAAAGCGGGAGAATGGGGCGGGGTGATGGAAAGCGGGAGAATGGGGCGGGGTGATGGAAAGCGGGAGAATGGGGCGGGTGATGGAAAGAGGGAGAATGGGGCGGGGTGATGGAAAGCGGGAGAATGGGGCGGGGTGATGGAAAGCGGGAGAATGGGGCGGGGTGATGGAAAGCGGGAGAATGGGGCGGGGTGATGGAAAGCGGGAGAACGGGGCGGGGTGATGGAAAGCGGGAGAATGGGGCGGGGTGATGGAAAGCGGGAGAATGGGGCGGGGTGATGGAAAGCGGGAGAACGGGGCGGGGTGATGGAAAGCGGGAGAATGGGGCGGGGTGATGGAAAGCGGGAGAATGGGGCGGGGTGATGGAAAGCGGGAGAATGGGGCGGGGTGATGGAAAGCGGGAGAATGGGGCGGGGTGATGGAAAGCGGGAGAATGGGGCGGGGTGATGGAAAGCGGGAGAATGGG